GCTCAAACAATCCGCCCGCCTCGGCCTCCCAGAGTGCTAGAATTACAGGCATGAGCCACTGCGCCCAGCCGACCATAAGTTTCTGATTTCATGCTCTGATGTACTTGATATTTTGTTTATTCTAATTTACAGACACATTTTTGTTTAGGCATGTTGACATTTTGACCTAATTAAGAAACTTAAAGTTGAACACATGGGTTTTTTTTGCTAATGCCTCAGGAGATTTAGCTATTATCATTAGACCAAAAACATTAAATTTGCCTTATTTATCAAAAAATCATACAAACACTGATTATTTTGTCTTTGTCTGGGTTTATAGTTTTGTAAACTTTGTGTCAAACCCTGACACCTTACAAGAACAAAAATATCCAGTAAAACCCAGGGAAAAAAGGTATGCTGACAATTTAAAAGTATCTTTATTCTTTATCAATAATACTTTTTCTTTTTAATAACCAAGCTTATTTACCAAAGATTACTAAATTCACGTGAACTAGAAAAGCATTTTGTTTTCTTTAATTAATTTATAATCACTCCCTTATTTGTAAACCATGTAAGCACAGCATATAATACACATACATATATAAAACATGTCTAAATATGTATACTCACACACACACACACACACACACAAAGTTCCCATAGCTTTTAGGTCAGCACTCTAGCCATAAGATAATAATACAAACTCACCAGTGTACAAAACATGACTGGATCTAAATTTCTTCTGACTAAACTGGAACTTGTTCACATGGCTAAACTTTAGTTGCCCTAACAGATAATCTAATAATGCCTGTGGAGCAAAGTTTTGGGTAAAACTGTTTCCACGGCAGTTTGATTTTTAAAAACTTCTTTTCCCATTTTTTCCTCCAGTTTAAAATGAGTTTTCAAATGTTTGCACTTTAGCTAAAACTGGCTGCAAGATCTCCAAGTAGCCTTGAATTAGTGATACCACAAACATTGAGTTTATCTCAACATCGGTAGAAAAAGTTAGCAAGTTCAGTGTAGGCAGAAAAGAAAATAGACAGAAAGCTTAAGAGACTTGACGTTTTAACTTACAGTGGCAGGTCAACCATTCGAGCTCTGAATTTTCCTTGATGTAATTTTCCTTTCAGTTAAAATGTCCACAAAAATTGACCGTAACCAGCTGGAGCCCTAGAAAACCTGGCCTGCCTGTGAACCTTTCCACTTACACATATGCTTGTGAGTAGAGGAGCCTTAAACCACCAGGGGACCAGAGAGGGTTGTTCTCCTTGTCTTTCTTCATTTTTAGAGGATTTGTTCCCCACTTTTCTCTAAAAGAAGCAACTGAACTGTAGTTGAGGGTTTAGTGTAGTGGAGCAGAGTGTGCTGATTGCGGGTGGGACTCCACGGTGTTTCCCCACGGAGTCATTCCCATCTCTTACGTGTCTCAGTTTCTCTCTTTGGGGGTCTGCCGCCTCTGAGAGGGCTCCAAATGCTGAGTGAACAGCTCTTATATGTGATTCTTGGGCAAGCTTTCTTTTAATTAATTTTGTTGGGGGGTTCCCTATAGGGCCACTCATGCCACAGGGAGTTGCTCCAGGCATCTCCCACTCAGGGCCCCAGTCACCCAGGGGTGCCTTTCAGCTGGGAGGAGTAAAATGCCCTTTCTCTTTGGAGCTGAGTAACTCAAGTCTCTCATTTATCCATGAACAGGACAGTTTGATTTCCTCTTTCACAAATGTGCAGAAAAGTCAACCGAGGTTAATTTTGGGAGAAAGAGGCAAGGGAGAAGACCCTCCAGAATGCACCTCCAAATAGGATCCCAAACAACAACTTCCTAGGAAAAGAACTGACAGCTCTGAATAAAGCAGGACCTCCAGTCAAGAGCAGGAGGTCCAGGGCTCAGGAGGACTTGCCAGTTCCACCAAAGGAGAAGCTTAGAGTCAGGGGACCAAAGGGGGCCATTCTGGCATCTGGTGCCGAGTTCAGGCTATTCCTTTGGGAGGTCCTGAGTCTTCCCTGAGCCCTATGTTGGGTGCCATCTTGTTAATGAAAAAGAACCCGAACTCTGTAATATAATTTAAAGAAGTTTATTTGGAGCCAAATACATGTGACCATGACCCAGAGCCACACCCAAGAAGCCTTGAGCAACCCTGTGGCTGGGTTACAGTTTGGTTTCATACATTTCAGGGAGACAGGGGTTACAGGTAAAGTCATAAATCAATACATGGAAGAAGGTGTACATTGGCTTGGCTCTAAAAGGCAGAATGTCTCAAAGTGGGACATCACAGGTAGCTCATTGCGGCCTCAAACTCCTGGGCTCAAGCAATCCTCCCGCCTTGGCTTCCTGAGTAGCTAGAACGACAGGCACACGACAGAGCCTGGCTAATTTTTACAATTTATTTTTATTTATTTATTTTAATTTTTAAATTAAATTTATTTTTTTAATTTAAATAGATTTAGGGGGCACAAGTGTTTTTTGTCACTTAGATGAATTGTATAATGCGGAATTCAGGGCTCTTAGTGTACCTGTCAACCAAATAGCATACATTGTACCTGATAGATAACTGTTTATCCCTCATCTCCCTCCTTCTGTCCCTTCTTCTTAATTTCCAGTGTCCATTATACCATTTTATAACCATGTATACCTGTCATTTAGCTCCAACTTATAAGTGAGAACATGTGGTATTTGTTTTTCCATTCCTGAGATACTTCACTTAGGATAATGGTCTCCAGTTCCATCCAAATTGCTACAAAAGTCATTACCTCGTTCCTTTTTATGTCTAGGTAGTACTTCATTGTGCATACATATACCACATTTTCTTTATCCATGTATCAGTTGATGGGCACTTAGGCTGATTCCATACCTTTGCAATTGTGAAGTGTGCTGCAATAAACATTTGAGTGCAGGTGTCTTTCTGATATAATGACTTCTTTTCCTTTGGGTAGATACCCAGTTGTGGGATTGCTTGGTTGAATGGTAGGTCTATTTTTAGTTCTTTGAGGAATCTTCATCCATACCATTTTCCATAGAGGTTGTACTAATTTACATTCCCATCAGCAGTATATAAGCATTCCTTTCTCTTTGCATCCATGCCACCATCTATTGCTTTTTGACTTATTAAAAATGGCCCTTCTGATGGGGTAAGGTGATATCTCACTGTGGTTTTAATTTGCATTTCCCTGATGATTAGTGATGTTGAACATTTTTCATATATTTGTTGGCCATTTCTCTTTCATCTTTTGAAAAACTTCTGTCATGTGTTTTGCCCACTTTTTTTTAATGGGGTTGTCTCTTTCTTGCTGATTTGTTTGAGCTCTTTATAGATTCTGGATATTAGTCCTTTGTTGGATGTAGAGTTTGTGGATGTTTTCTCCCATTCTGTAGTTTGTCTATTTGCTCTGTTGATTTTATTTTTACAGAGATGGGGGTCTCGCTATATTGTCCAGGCTGGTCTTGAATTTCTGGCCTCAAGCAATCCTCCTACCTTGGCCTCCCCAAATGCTGGGATTACAGGTATGATCCACCATGCCCAGCCAGTGGTTCCCAAATTTTAGCAGGCAACAGGAGGACTCACCCCTCAGAGTTTCTGATTTAGCAGGTGTGAGGTGGAGTTTGAGAATTTGCATTTTTAACAGGTTCTCGGTGACACACATGCAGGGACCACAATCGCAGAACATCCAGCTTCATGCCTTGCTACTCAATGGACTGGCCAGAGTGGAATCATCTGAGAGCTTGTTAGACAGGCGGAGCACTGAGCCCAGTTCAACAGATTCCGAATCTGTATGCTAACAGAATCTGCAGGTGATTCCCGTACATGTGGAAGTTTGGGAAGCAGCACTTTGGTACACAGGTTATCAACATGAATTAGGTAAATCATAAACCTGAAATGGGATGTGTGACACTCCTGCTTCCAGTATGTTATTCTCACCTGTATGACTGATAAATACATAATACAAAGCTTATACGTGATTGTAAAGTACTTTAGACCCCTGAGTTCCACCGCTGGCTAACAGTCCTTTCTCAGTCCTGATCTCCACACTGGGAAAACAAGAGTTGGAACAGATACACGACCACATAGTTTCAGAATCCAGCAAACAGATTTCACGTCGGTTGGAAACTAAAGAAAATCAGCCTCTGTGGTGCTCAGCATCGGGCGGGAGGCACCGTGAATAAGCCGTTTCACTCTCCTGACTGCAACAGCTCAGAGTCAGCTGTTCGCTAATCTTCTGCCACTGATATTGTGGTCTTGAAATTATCGCTAGAACCAGCTGGCGCTCTGTGGCTCTGGTGGGTGGCGTAGGGGAGGAAGTGGGGGCCCAGATGGCACATATGGGGCTGTCAGGCCCTGCATCTTTCCCCATTTTCGGGTTAGCCTGGAAGCTGGCAACCAGGACAACGACTTTTTAAACTACCTCAAATAACCTTCTACCCTCATACTTTTTTCTCTTTCTTTCCCATCTTGTCTTTGGAAGTACCAGACCTCTGAGGAAAGGACGTTGACATTTGATTTAATTATCATGGCCAGAGCCGCGGAGACAAATTTTATTTCTAGCTTTGTTTTTCCTTTTCCTGAGAAGAGGCCTTCTCTTTGAGGGTTTGGAAGAGGATAACGTATCGGGAGTCTCGAGATCGCAGGTTTCTGAGCAATAGGGAAGTCCCTACCCTATCTAGTCTTGCAATACCGAAATTTACTTGGAAACAAAATGGACCTGCGGTGTTAGATTTCCTCTCTCTTTTCGGCCTGATTCCCCCCTGCTGCGCGCGCGCAAACACACACACACACACACACACACACACACACACACACACACACACACGTGCGTGCAAACACACTTACATTTTCCCTTTCCCCTCCCCTCGAGAGCTGTTTCTGCCTTCTCCCCATGCCCAGTCCCACGGCGGCTCGCAGGCGGCAGGGGCACGAGTCAGCGGTCAGCCGCGACGTCCTGCCGTGTGCATTTTGACTGCTGTTGCTTCGGACAAGACTGCCTCGAGCGGAGTAAAACTCAGGAGCCCAGAAACCAAGTGCCCGTGAGAGGATGGGAAATTATCTCCGGAGAAAACTCAGGTGAGTCCTGACTCCGGGCACTGCCTTTCCTGGGAGAGCGCGAAGAGGGATGAGGGGCCCGGGTTTCCGCTCTTGCACCCGTGAGGCGGGCTGCGCCTCGAGCAGGCTGAGCCTCCTCTGCGAGCACACAGGCCTCGCTGTGGACCCTGTCAGGTTGCTAGACATAGAAAATAAAAGCACTGGACGCCAAGTCAAATTTGAATTTCAGATAAACAAATACTTTTTTAGTGTACGCCTCATACGATAGTTTGGGCATTATTGCATGGGTCGTTCTTATGCTAAAAAGGTATCCATTGTTTATCTGAAATTCGAATTCAACAGTGCGTCCTGTATTTTATCTGGCAAACCGAGGCTATTGTCACTGGAATCTTTCTGCTCCTCTTTTTCCTCATCTGGGTGTAGGGTTTACTTTCCCCACCATCAGCTTGGTGGGTCAGCGTGAGGATGAACAGTGAGGTTCTTGAAAATCATAGCTGCGGAACAGGCACTCAAATGCCTCTGCTCTTAGCCATGCCTTTCCTTGGTGGTGTTTAGCTCTTCAAATGCTCTACAAGCATAGAACACATACAGAGGACAGGTGCCATTATTCTTACATCTTGTGTGATTTTAAATGATTGGCTGCACAGCGCCCCACTCCTCCGTCCGCTCTCCCAGACTCCTTGCCTTGCGTGTGACATGACGAGATTGCTTGGCCCGACGCAAAACTCTCATCACAGCACCCCTGGGTCCCAGTGTGTGCCTTCGCTCCCCACTGGCTGGCGTCTCAAGTGCAGACCCCTTCTTTTGTATTATAAGGCCCTGGATATTCAGAGAAATTACTCCCTTCTTGTCTTATCACTTTGAGCATTGCCCCCGAAATCTTGCGTAGCACTCTCATTAAGTGTTTCTTACCGCACAGCGAGTCTCTCAGAGGCACATGTTGTTTTGAGTGTGTCTTTGCAGCCCCTGTGCCTTTCTGGAGCGCATCACGAAGCAGGGATCGAAGGAATGTGCTCAGTTAGTTTAACTAAATACGAGGGCTGTCTGAAAAGTATCCAGGCACGTAATATGAAAAATAGAGACATTTATTGTATTAACAATGGCTGGATACTCTCCAGACAGCCCTCCTATGTCATTTGAACTTTATACCCTTTTCAACCTGACCAATTGCTAATGTCTTAAATTCAAGCCTGTGTGCCTTGGCTAACAGATCTCTTACTCCAAAGTTCGTTTTCAGCTACATTTACTTGTCAGCATCGTCATTCTGCAATGCCCTGGTCAAATGCTATGTCTTTCTGAATGCTGCCAGAAATTATTCTTTCAATATTTTATGACTTGTAGCTGATTTATATACATTAATGACTCCAGACATATTCTGCCTACTGCCATGATTCTGTTCACGAGCCTAAATATTTTATATTATGGACTCTTTGACCACAAGAACCATGCATTTTACATTCTTTGAAATCCCTGAAATCCTTGCTAATGCTCTGCAGAAAGAAAGCTCTTAAGAAATGTTTTTTCCCTCTGGTTTTAAGAACATGTAATTCTCATTGAAATCAAGGGAAGGAGAGAATAAAATAATCTTTAGATTGCTGAGATTTGAAGGAGCTTTCAGTTTTTTAGCTGTTTCCCTCTCTGCGTTGATTTTTAAGATCCCCACTTATAACTGTGACCATGTTCTGATATTTTGGGAAGAAACATGAACTGCGCATACTTTATAAAAGTTAAAGCAGCAAGAGGATGGAGATTCAACTCAATCGTGTTGTAAGTGAAGACATTTAGACCCAGAGACATGGAAGTGTCTTAGTTTGCTACAATCAGTGGTTGCAAAGACCCCATCTCATTCTATCCTTCAGTTCTTAATCTTGCTTAGGCTCCTACATTTCACTTTCTGGAGAAGCCTGTTTGCTGGATGTTGGTTACGTTTTAAAATCCAGGAAGTTGGGAAGAAGAAAGAGTAGAACATTGTTCCAGGTGGTCTTGTGGTTGGTGTCCATGAGTGAAATCTTCACAGGTCAGGGTCTTTTCCCCATTCTTCATGTTCACATACTGCAAGGCAGCCAGATTCAGTAGGACTCAAGAAACTGTCAGAGCTTAGCAAAGTATTCAGTTTGCACCAATAATAGCAACTGATAATTAACTTAGGGTTTCTCCCTGCCAGGCACAGTGATAAGAAGTTCACAGGATTATCTTATGACTTTTCCCTAACTACCCTACAAAGCTGTTGTTATTGCTATCCTCATTTACTATGAGCTTGGAAAAATACAACATTAAATATTAAATAGACCACAGAATTGGCTGCCCTTATTAACTGGTCATGGGAGAGATTTCATTCCCAGTAAGTCAAATATAAGTGATTTCTGTTAGGAGCACTCCATGTCTTAGCAAATTTAGGAAGGCAGGTTAGCAACGCTGCTTAGAGATCAAGCAGAGAAAAAAGAGAGTAGACAGTTTCTTTTTTTTTTTTATAATAAATTAGATGCTTTTTTCCAGCTTTATTGATGTATGATTGATGAATAAAAATGTATATATTTCGGGTGTACAACATGATGCGTTGATACATATATATATATACACTGTGAAATGATCACCAATATCAAACTAATTAACATAGCCATTACCTCGCATAGTTATTTTTGTTGTTGTTGCTGATGGGAGCACTTGAGAACTACTCTGATGGAATGTGGCTGACAGGTACGTGTGTCAAGGGTGTGTGTGTGTATTACAGAGACCTGACCTGTGAGAAAAGACCTGGATAACGAGAGGGAGCAGGTTAGGCAAAGATCTGGGGGATTAGCTTCCAGACACAGAGACTGCAGGTAAAGCCCGAGCCAGGTCTGAGCGTGGTACACAGTGGGACGGGGAGGGTGGGTGGGACACGAGGTCAGTGCGAGGGGCTACGTCACCACGTGACCACTCCACCTCCCACCACGGGTTGCTCTGAGCTTTTCCCACTCCAATCTCTGTACTTCTCTCACTACCTAAAATCACCTGATCCAGTAGGTCATTCCCGCCTGCACTGCAGATGCATTTGATCACCCAACACAGTCAGAGTTGTCTTTGTAAGTTTGCAGATTGTCTTCTCCACACCTGATACTTCACGCCATCTCACTTGCCCTGGTTAAAGATCACTATTGTCCCTTGATTTCTCCATTTAGTCTTTTGTTTTTTTCTGAGATAAGGTCTTGTTTTTCTGCCCTGACTAGAGTGCAGTGGCATCATCATAGCTCGCTGCAGCCTTAAACTCCTGGGCTCGAGCGATCCTCCTGCCTCAGCCTCCCAAGTAGCTGGGATTACAGGCATGCGCCACCACACCTGGCTAATTTTTCTAGTTTTTGTAGAGACGGGGTCTTGCTCTTGCTCAGGCTGGTCTGGAATTCCTGGCCTCAAGCAATCCTATCCTCCCGCCTCAGCCTCCCAAAGTTCTAGGTGAGCCACGGCACCCCGCCCATTTAGTCGTTTAGTAACCTCCTATTTCTTAAAGAGCTTAAGGGTCCATGGGTAGAGAAGGGCCATCAAAGTTCAGGATGGAATGACTCTGTGGGTAGTAGATGGAGGAAAAATGGCACAATTGTGCTGAGAGTTGAATTCAAACACGTGCACTGATGAAACATGTTCCTCCCGTTTAAAGTTAATGAATATTTATGGAAAGTCTATATGAGACAATGGTCTTGACCTCGAGAAAAAAAATAAACATAGAGGGACAATGGCTGTGGGAGCAGATTTTAAAAATAGACAGGGGAATAAAAGGATAGGTCTCTTCAAAGAACCTTGCACTTAACTGCTCTGCTATAGCTTTAGAAAAATAGAGCTGCGATAATTAGAGCTGAGAGACGATTAAAACTTGTCCCGGTCACCTTTGCTATAAAGTGATGAAACTAGCATGTAATTTATAATGTCAAGGCATCTGTCATTGCCAGTACACCACAAAGGCCTCTTTTTCAGATAAGGCAGATGCTGACGTGTTCTAGTTAGAAACACAAGCAATGCGCTGTAGAAACCAGAGGAAGGAATGACTGTAATTCTGGTTTGGGACAGCAGGAAGGAAGGGCATGTTTGAGGAGCTGCCATTTGGATTGTGCTATAAATGTTAGGCAGACTCACCAAAGTGGGAAAAGACTTTCGAAATGGAAGGGACAACCTGTAAAAATGTATGAGAGTTTTAAGCGTATGTTTTTTCAGGAATTGACAATTCATTGTCAGTAACTGGAACATATTGTTCAAGGATGGATCTAGTAGGAGAAAAATTGAAAATGAGATTAGGGGTTGGATGAGGAAGGGTCTTCAAAGGCACATAGGAAGTGGCAAAGCAGTGAACATTTCTGAGGCAGAGAAAAATGTAGTGGCCTATATTTTAGGAAGAAATGTCTTTCCTCAGTGGGTGTGGTGGAATGGCAGAGAGAGAGATAAAGCTAACATGCTCTTAAAACATACCAAACAAGATGTAGGGGCAAAAAGAAAACTCCTTTGCCCTCAAAGCTTTGCTGCAGATGTGTCTGCTGACGAAAGGCAGATCGATGGGAGAAAAGGCACACGAGTTTATTTGACCACAGTTCTGTGTGACACAGGAGCCTCGGAGTGAAGATCCAAAGATACAGGGGAAACTGCCTGTTTTTATGCTGAGGTTCAACGAAGTACGGACAGCCGTGCAGAGATACAATCGAACAAAAGGGTGTGATCTAGTGCTGATAGACTGGGCGGGAAACCCAGCAAGGCCTGTCTAGATTCTTCTTGGCCTCTCTGAGCAGCATCCTTCCTTCTGTGTGTGGGGCAGGGCCCTCTCTGGAATGGGGGTCTTATGGCCTACAGCCAAACAAGGTAGGTCAGATAATTTCTTTATGGTCAGTTTTTACACAGAAAGGCAGGGGAAAGTTAGAGTAATATTGTTAGGCTTTATGGCTGGCTGTGGGCAACAGGGATTCTGGTTTCTATGACTCGTCTTGGCGAAGAGGGATTCTAGCTTCTATGGCAAGCCTTGGGGGAGAAGGAGGGGCCCGAGACAGAGGGTAGGAGGGTCA